TCCCCAGAGACACTTCATACTGGGGTTGGCAAAAAGGGCTTACTTTAGTAAAGGTAGAATTATTTCTCTTTACAATTATAAAGGTTACTGAGTTACTTGCCTTTTAAAAACAACAGAAAAAAAAAAGAAAGCTACCCTGCCCATGCTCTTAGATGATGGTGCAGGAACTAAAAGCAGAGCCCCGCTTGTTGGTGCTCTGCGTAGGCACAAGTTTTCCTTTTCCATAGTAACCTGAGAATATCGCCCTCACATCGATCTTTTTGGAAAGGACGAGCATCCACATACCATTATCAAAATACTGCAGTTTCCCTCCTCCGATTTCCCCCACTTCCTCCCCTTTGTTCCCTGCCTTTTCCAGTTTCACAAACTCCAGCAGATCGAGCCCAGTCTGGACTGCTTCTACGCCGTTGGCGCAGCCGAGGGTGATGTGAGCCCGGCTGCCTTTCGGGAGGTTGTCGGTGGACAGGAGCTTATCGACATCTCCGGGCCACAGCAGCAGCTGCTGTTCATTCAGCTCCACACGGGCACCAACAGTTTTCGTTGTGATGAACAGAGCAGAAATGGACAAGGTGAAGCCTTTGCCGTAGGAAGCCTTCACAGCCTGGGAGAGGAGAGAGGGAGACAAGTCCAGAACAGAGCTTTAACCAATGCCACACAGGTGGAATTTAAAGCAATGCAGCTGGCTTTATCGGCCACAAGCTCAGGGTCCTGGCTGGCCGTGGTCATTCTTGCTTTGCCATGTTTGAAACATGGTCAACTAGGAGGTGGTGGCCTGAAGTTCCTGCTCTGTGAATTCAGGGCTGGTCACATCTTTCTCCTTCACAAATTCCAAATTCAAATGGGCTCTCGAGCTCATCAGCTTTGAAATAATTTGGCTAGAAGCATCAATACTTCTGTTGAACGATTTACCATCATTCCAGTTAAGCTACTGGGGATGCTGCTGGAAGTCGGGGTGATGGGGGGATATTTAGTTTGGAAGCCATCAGGAAATAGTTGCCATCTCCCCCATGCTTATCACTTTCCTATCATATGGGCATACTTTCTCTACAGTTTGCCTCATTGCTGAGAGCAAAGCTGCCCCCCCAGCCCACTCCCAAGGTGCAGGGATCCCCAGCTGGGAAGGGGAAGGGAGACTCCAGCAGGGAAAGGCTGGAGCCGTGGTACTCACTTCTTGCTGCGCGTATTCCTCAGCCCCGGGGGCTTTTCCAAACTCTGTGAATTTGGTGGTGCAGTGTAAGACCCCAGGTGGCCTCTTCACAAAGTAGCTGGTGAGATCTACTTTTACTTTGGGATCTTCAATAGCAAAAGCAACTGCAAACACAGGTAAGCAATGTTACTATGAAAAAAAATCAACCCCTCAACCCCTGAGCCTGTCTCATCTCAGCTTTCTCCACTAAGCTGTCCTTCATGCTTCATCTTTCTTACTGTTAAAAAGGACTAGATGGATACATAAAGTTCTTCCTTCCACCTAGACTATCAGTGGATGTAATTAAAAGCCAAGCTCCTGCACAGCAGCATGGCTCACCTTAAACCTGATGTTGCAGAAGTCTCTGAAGTCCCCAAGACCACTTGTTTTTTCCATTTTCTCTTTGATTCTGCAGTTGTTCTACACAGCCCATCCCAGTAACCAGTGGGTGCCCAGCTGCCTAAAGTAATGCTGCTGCCATCCTAACCCACCTCCCTGCAGCCTCACAGCTAAACAGGCTTTCACTGAGAACTGGTTATTATCAGTTATTGTATTACTGGTTATTGTATTATTTTTTTATTACAAAAGCAAATCTGACAACTCTGGGAAACTGGGATTAGTATCTTCAAACAGTTTTCCCTGATTAACTAAGAGTGTCACTGTAGAAGCTGACTAAAGTTGTCCCCTGTTTCATCAACAAAATAAGAACTTGATAAGATACTTCTATACATACAATATTTGCTCTCCTTTTTGAAGGCTTTGAGACTTCCAAGCTCATCTAAGAAGAGCTGGCCAACCTTCCTCAGGTTCTCGGAACTTCTTTTGCTCAAAAACCACCCAAAATACATGGGTAGAAATTCCTTCTCCAAGCTTGGCTTCATCTTCTTCAGGTCTTCCGCTGACAGTTTCCATTGATTCTTTTCCTTAAGCTGCGAGCAATCCATCCTCCACGGGGTTTTGGGCTCAGCAAAGATGACTTTGTACCGGTATTTGTCAGCAATATCAAAGATTTGGTCCAGCCGTTCCCTTTCGTGGTGAGTGTCGTCCAAAACGATAATGCTGATGTCTCGTTTGCAATAGTCAACTAGATCCTCATCAACTTTTGAGTATTCTTCAGGAATGCTGCTTCTTATTGCAGGCGTAATTTTATAGTTATCGACAGAAATGACCTTGCAGGCATCTTTATACCTGTCTTGAATAGCCTGGGCAAGAGTGGACTTCCCACTGCCAGGTAGGCCTCTTAAAATAAAAAAGGTTTTAGACTCTTTGAGCGTGGAGATGGTATCTTCGTCATCAAGGAAAGGAAACTGCAAGCTTTCAGGCCTTTCTTTTGCTGATTGAGAAGACATTTTTCTAAATATTTTAGGCAGGAATGTGTGGCTCTTCTTCGAGAAGCCTCTGTTCTGAAAACCAAGAAGAAAACGCTTTGTCGGTTAGCAACCCCCGGAGGAAGGGAGGCTGAGGGGACGCGGTGCCACCGCTTCCCGGAGCCTCGCTTGGCTTAAAGCACTTCCCACGGCTCCCCCAATCCTTCCCCACAGCAGGAACCTGCCTGTGCCCTGTCCTGGTGCTGCCCCGCTCCTTGCTCCGGCGCCTTCCAGCAGCAACTTGGGCCCTGCCTGACCAGGAAGGGGAAGCTTTGCCCGTCACGTGGCGGTGGCTGCAGCTGGGGAGGCACCACGGGGCTGAAACCCAGCCAGAGCAGTCTTGAGCATCAAATTTATTTCTGAACACTTAAACAAATACCTGTGGCCGCTAGATTGTGGCGCCGCTGTGCGTCTGGGGGAACTCTGCCTGAAAAAGGGGAAATGAAAGAGCCAGGCGGCTGGGGCAGCTGCTGCAATCCTGTCAGCTCGTCCTGAAGTGATTGCAGGCTGATTTAAGTCTGCTTGGGGGTCCTCTGTTTCGTAAGAAAGGCTGTTTCCATGTGAAGGCTGTTTCACTGCAAGGATTGCCTCTTTTTTTGTACCCCGCTGAACATCAGCGCTGTGAGTGCCTCGCAGGAGGGAATTTGGACTCCTCGTTGAATGGGGAAAAATTTAAATTGCTTTCAGCGAGGGCAAGCCCAACCCCAGCCACTGCCGAGCTGAACACGAAAGTGAAAGCAACTGCGAGCAGCAGAGAAGCTTGGCAGCAGCAGGAGCCTTGGGAAAAGCACCCTGGGGAGCTGGCACTGGCTCTGCCTCCCTGCCTGCCAGCAATGCCAGTACCAGGAAACCCAGATAATTCCCGGCAGGGTCTGGGAAAGCACCGGACTCAAGGAAGGGAGGGATTTCTCCAACTGGTTTCAGTAGCACCGCCAGGGCAGCTGTTGTTTTTTGGGTTGATGTGTGGCCTCTCCACCCTCCCCAGCTGCGTCCTCACTCAGCCCAGCCTGGGACCTGCCCCCGAGCTCTGCCCCAGAAATGAAACCAAAGGAGTGAGTTCTGCCTGCGATGCCAAAACTGGGGGCTTTTACATGCTGTGCAAGAGGTCTGCCCGCAGCAGAAGGGCCTGCTTTCGTGCTTGCAGAGTGAAGAGCCTGTTTAAAAAGTCAACTATTTCATTTGAGTAACTATCCTTTATTCCAAAATTCACAGGTGGGGCTTGGTTCCAAAGCACCCTGAGGCTAGGACCGTGCACCCCCCTGCCTTAGGGATGCGGTGGGCAGGGAGCGCTCTGTGCCCAGGGGCAGCAGCGTGGGATGGAGAGCTGGGGGCACACCGAGCCGTGCCCGATCCCAAAAACAAGGCAGAGCTCCTGGGGCTGCAAGAAGAGGAAGAACTGCACAACTTTCCTGGGGCCCCTACACCACCTGCCCTGGGGATTTAGGGCTCCCCCATCCTCATGGACAAGGAAGCAGAGGTGTGAGCCAGCTCCAAGGGCTCCTTGCTGTGTCCTGGCTCTGGATATTTGGGCTGGGCAGGGACCAGCAGCATCTCCAAGCAGGGCCGTGGGGGATGCGCTGCTCCTGCGGCTGTGAGCAGGGCAGCCCGGCTATTTTGCAGCAAGCAGCTGCTGGTGGCCAGCAGTGACTGAGGCTGCTTTTCAACCGTGCAAACAAAAGAACAATAATAGAAAACACCCTCAGGACCCATTGTTTAGCAGCCAGCTCGAAGGATAATGCTGGCCTTTATGAAATCGGGCCCCGTACAGCGTGGCCAGACAATGGCACTACAGAGACCGGGCTCCTCCGGGTGAACAATCCCCGATTGAAAGCGCGCCCCTGTCCTGTCCCTGCCTGCGACCCCCACAAAGCCCCCGCTTGTCCTCCGCATCCCGGGGCCTCGCCGGGTGATGCTCCCAGACCCAGCGCCCCTCCGCACGCTGCTGAAGGTGTCTGCACCCCGACTGAGCCCCAGGGTGGGCTGGGGACCAGAAGGGGGCTGCGCAGCCCGGGACCCCCCTGGGAAGAAGCTGCTGTGCCCCCAGCTCCACCCTGCAGCCCCTCGGGGTCGTGCCCCAAGCACCCCGAGACCCCCAGGTAGTGCCCTGCACCCCGAGCTCCCCCCATACACCCGGAGAAGCCCCGTTCCCCCCCCCACACCCCCCGTTCCTTCCTCCCCACCGGGAAATTAAACCGGCCCCGGGGATGCCCCGACCCCTCGCTTACCATGGTGAGGGCAGCGGCCGCCGGTGCGGAGCGGGGCGGCGGGGCAGCGGCTCTGGGGCGGGTGCGATCGCGGCCCCTTTCATAGCACCGGGACCCCCCCGCCCAGCTCCCCCCCGCCGTGGCCGCGCCTCCCCGGGGCGGGCCGGGCCGGTGGCGATGGGTGCCCGGCCCCGGGGGCCGCCGCAGCTCGGGGCCAGGTTTTTTTTTTTTGGTTTGTTTTGTGTGTTTTGTTTTTTTTTTTTTGCCCCGTGCTCCCGGGGAGCTGTGCCAGCAAAGGGAGGAAAAGCACGAAGCGAGCGTCTGCGTGAGCCGGGACTCGCAGGTACGTGGCACGGCTGGGGTTTAGGAACACCGAAGGGAAAAGGAGTTTGCAAAAGCAACGCTCAGCACTAAGGTTTATTCTGCCCTCTAACTGCTCAGGAAATGCTGCTCTACTCCAACGCGAGGTTTGGCTGCTTTTCATCATGCCCTGTTTCTTCTTCCTCTCTTTTGCTCTCCTCTCCATCTCTTTTGCTCTCCTCTCTGTCTCTTTTGCTCTCCTCATCTCTTTTGCTCTCCTCGCCGTCTCTTTTGCTCTCCTCTCCGTCTCTTTTGCTCTCCTCTCCGTCTCTTTTGCTCTCCTCTCCGTCTCTTTTGCTCTCCTCATCTCTTTTGCTCTCCTCGCCATCTCTTTTGCTTTCCTCACCATCTCTTTTGCTCTCCTCGCCGTCTCTTTTGCTCTCCTCTTCTTTACTCTCATGCTCTTTATCGTTCTTGGCACCTTCATCTTCCTTTTCACCTTCTTGATTCTCTGTGCTTTCCTTCCCGCTTTCCTTTCCCTCTCTGTCCTTCTCCAAGTTGTCATCGTCTGTGTTTTCATTGCTGAAATCAAAATCTGGAGGGGGGAGAGGAAGAGGCAAAGGGAATCTTAAACCAAGTTCCAGCACTGGGCAATCAGTAGGGTGCAAGAAAAGCCCCTTGGCCTCCATCACCATGGTTAGAAAGCTCTCCTCTATTTCCTGTCTCACAAAGCTAAATTTGCCAGCAATATGAGGTACTGAGATACATGATCTAAGGTGAGCAGAAGGCAGGTGCTGGCAGTTACATTGTGAGGCCTGGATTCATCAACTGACAAAATGAACATGAGATGAAGCCCAGGTGTGGTGTTTGCAGAGGGGACGCCTGGGACGTGCTGCCATCTCCTGCTCAGGCTTGATACAGCTCTGAGATGGCCACGGCCAGACCTGGGAGCAGAGCTGCAGGAATTCAGTTTGTGTTCTGAGTCTGGGGCTTCAAATAACCATGAGGATGCTGCACTCCTGGGGATTCCACTCTGCTCCCCTCTTTCTGCAGCCCTACTTGCTGGGGCAGAGTAGGGATTGCTCTTTGTGTGAGTTTTGCTCTAGGAAGGACACATACGTGTGTTCAGAGGAAGAGCAGTATCTTTGCAATGGAACTGTGACTTACTCTGTCATGCTTCATGCTGCAGGTGCTCAGTAGCATGTGTCGTCATTTAGAAGGTGACAGAAAATCAATACTGTTACGCTATGTGGGCTCTATGATTTGCTGATGTTTTTGAAGGTCTCAGCACTGCGGGTCCTCATTTATTTATGTTCATTTTTGCGGTTGCATTTTGACACTACTTTGCTTCTGGCTGTGCCCACCACTACACATTCTGGGCACTGGAGCTGCTTTCACTGTTATTAAAAGAAGCTTTTTACAAAGATAGAGCTGAAGAGAAGCCAGAGTCCCTCACTGTTATCCTGGAAATGAAGCCCTCACTGTCAAAAAAATGAGGCCACAAATCTTAACTATGCTATGGCATCACATATAAATGAATTCCTGCTACAGCATACTAGTACAGGGGATGCAAGCAGTCCAGAAATTTCAATCCTTGGACCTAGGAATGGGGTGTTTTGTTCCCATGCCAGAAAAGGAAAGTGGGAAATTTTTACATTTATGTGGTGCGGAGGTCTAGATGATAACTACCTTTAAAAGAGTAATCTCTCATTTCTCTTCCTCTTTCTTTAAGGTCTTCAATGAAGCTTCTGCTCACGTCATCTAAGGCCTGAAATTGATGTGGCTTATTAGTGAAGGCTATAGAAATACAGCGATATATCCAAGTTCTTCCTATTTCTCTTTGATCTCTGCTGTCATTGCTTGCTCCTTTCCTACCTCAAAACTCTCTGCAACAACACGCTTTGTTCCTCCCTGCAGTGATTGCTACCTCTTAGTATCCCTTATCAAATGTCTCCTCCCCGAAGATTTAATCTCTTCCAAACTATTGTTCTCCTTCTGGCAGGAAAACAGGCTCTGCTTCAACTTTGAACACCCATGAGGGATCACCAAATAGGTATGTGTTGATGCTGTACCTGTTCCCTGGCAAGCTGACTGAGGTCAGAAGATCACCCACAACCCGCTGTCAGGCTACCAAAATGTGCAGACTGCTTTATCCTTGTGTCACCGCCAATGCCCCAGATGTTCTGATCTGATGCAAAGTGGTTTCTCTGGGACACTTTGGAGAGGCCATAAAAGGGTAAGCTTTGATTATCCCTGCATTCTAACAGACACTGAATGTAGAGAAGTATTTCTGTATTCTGCATGAGAACAGGAGTTCAAATAAAAATTTTCCCTTGACCTAAACAGAGCTAGAGCTTCAGCCTTCTAGGTGTTGTAGTGGTTCACAAACTGAGACTAAGTTTTCTGAGCCAGGAGGCTTCATAACTTTTTGCTTCAGAGGCTGCATTTCCCCCTCTTAACACACTGGCTAGGAAGTGACATTTTCTTAATTCGCAGGCTGCTAAACAACATTTACAGCTAACTTATTGATGCTGCCGCAAGCTTCTCTCCACTTTGCACCAAGCCACTTACAGTAATGATGGCCTTCTGAGCAGGATCATCGTGAACAAGCTTTGCCTTCTCAAGGGCTTTTTCAAAGTTCATGATTGCAGAGCGGTAATCCTTTAATTTTTCTGTAAGGGACAAATGAAAACATCTATTTTAACCCAAGATAAAGAGAAGAACAAGTGTTAGTCAAGCAAGTCTCCTGTGAGAGATCTTAATCAGAACAGTTACTCTGGTTGTTAAATGACAGATATGTAAGAAGCTGAACAGACAGGCTGCCATCTGTCCTTACAGAAATATTGTAGTGACATCTTTACCTTGTGCTTGTGCCACCAGTACGCTAGCATGGAGTTGCCACTCAACATCTCCCTCTTCATCTGCTGACTGCAGGGACTTCTCTCCGTAATTTCGGGCTGCTTCAGCTTTATCAAGCTCAAGGTAACATCGGCCAATTTCATGGAACAGCCAGGTCTTTTCCAGGCTTGATTTTGCCATTGGAATTTTCTCCTCCCAACTTCAAGCAGAGAGTAAGAAAGAAAGCCTATTGCTGAATCTCACTAGGTGCAGTTATAATTTCAACCATGGATTCTATACACAAAGTGTTCCAGGTACTGTGATTAAAACTTTCTCAGCCCTCTTTCTAGCAGTATAATTAAAACTGAAAAGACAGCATCTATTAAATTCAAAACACAACCTTACGCCTTTTCTGTTACTAATTTTACATACGTGTCAATAGCTTCCTGGAATTTGCCGATTCTGGCATAAACTCTGCCGATGTTATCAAGGGCTCTGGATATGGCATCTGGTAGATCGCTGTGTTGAAAAGAAAGAGAAGTTGCAGTAGCTGAAACAGCCTCGTTCCTGATACAGTCTGTGCTTTCTTCAACCCCATATATTTTCTTTGGCTCTTAACATGAAAGTAAGTGTTGAGAAGTAGAAGTAAAGGACCAGTGCCAGGTTGAAAGTCATCAAAACAAGGTAAAATTTTATTTTCATCTACAGCATTGCAACACCCTGTAATATGGGGAAAAACAGTTTAGTTTTGTCTTCAATATTTTGTGCAAATCTAGCAGCCCTCGTGAGTCTTTTCTTTGCCTCAATTTCTCTTTGTTGCCATTTGGATCCCATGGAAATCCCCTACCAGTTCTTAGGCCCCTAACACTAATAAATTGTTATTGTCCAAGAGGAAATTGAAGACATGAGTATCTGCAATATGTCTCATTAACAGATTCCTGGTTACAGGCCCTGTTCCCAGTGCCTTGAATGAGATTTTGCCCAATGCTAGAGGCAGCTTCTTCTATCATAATGTAGCTTTTTTTTTTTTTTCCCTTTAATTAATCCTCATTCCCAACTTCAGAAGTGGCCTGCTTTGACTACCCGTGCCTTGAAAAAAAAGTGATGAAACGAGAGAACAAATGTGTTGCTGTGGGTTACGTGAGTCATTACCAATGTCTCCCCTGGCCACTGCTGAACTCCAGCCAGCAGAGGGCGAGTTCCTCTCGGTAATGACTGTGTTTCTGTCCTTCAAATACAACCTTCAGTTGGTTTGAAAAAGTAGTAAAATGACGGATCTCATTCCTGCCTAGCTTCTGCTAAGTCTTAACTTCATGTGGTGTAACTGTGGAGTGGAAATCACAAGGAGAGATGCAGAAATTGTTAAACCTATAATTAAAAATGTGCTTTTTGAAAAGGACAAACAGTGAGGTCTAACATTTTAGGTCTTATACAGTATCGGCAGAAATAAAATCAAAATAACCTCAATTCAAGCAACTATTCAGCGTTTTCTCATGTACTTTGTAAAACTCTATTACTAATTCTTAAGACTACATTTGCTCCATTCAGTTTTAGCTGAAAGTGCTGCTGCAGAATGTGTTCTATATGAGCAACTGTATCTTTTATCAACATTTCACACCTATCATCATGATTTGAATGCAAATTACTTTAAGGGAAAATGTAGAAGAAAACTTGTGCAATTTAGACTCTGACCTTCCTGAGAAGGAAATGCAAACTAGAGGCTGAAGTGCTGAGGCTGGAACTTGTGTTCTCTTCTGCTTTGCTTCAGCATGGATTTAGATACTTTGTGTGTGCTGGGTCCTTTAAAAATCTGCTTAAGTCACCTTATTTTTGAAATAGTGAAGTCACTAGGGAACACTGCATGTGGACAGAGTCTGTATGCATTGCCCTGTTAAATCTCCAGGTGAAAGAATTACAGTGTTACCAGATGCTAAAACATCTTAACAGAGATACTTTCCTCTGTATGTTGGATTTTTTCCCCATCTATCTAAACTTCTCAGCACTTACTTCTGCCTAGCAAATTCGAGATCCATTTTATGGCTTTGCAGGGCTGCTTCCATCTGGCCCATCTCTAACTGAGCATTCCCAATGCAGCTGTGCAGGTTTCCAATCAGTTCATTCTTGTTGGGAACTTCATCATCTGACCATCCTTGTATTGTTTTTAGCACATGCTCAGCTTTCTTGCAGCTTTCTTCAGGGGAGCCACCAGTCAGTACTAGAGACAAAGAGGAAAGGTTAGTGTTAGGGTAGGGACACAGCAATATTGGGGAAGTAGGACTGAGTGCAGTTATGTACGCTTCAGGCAAAGCTTGGGAATGGTTAGAGCTCCTAACTCTTCATGCATATCCTATATTCCTCCATTCAATCTCCACGAAATCTGCTCTTGGGAGATGGTACTTCAGCCCCTCCATCTGGCACTCCTGGAAATCACTTTCATCACAGCAAGCAAGGAGAGAGAACTCTGGTAAGACTTCACACTTGCTGAGGAAAAATAAATGAGAATGATGCTTGTTGTCTGAAGTTTTTGAAAGCAAAAAGTCATTGAAGCAGGGCAGCCTGATCATGGAGATGAAGTACTAGCTACAGTGCTTAGTTTTTTATCTCCTAAATTAGCCCCTTGCACTTTCCTGGCAAGCTCTGTTTATTGCACCCAGCTGGCTGCAGTGCTGTGGGGAGTGGACTGCAGGATGTTTCTGGCACTGCCTTCACCAAGCTGTAGCTTAAATGAACTGAATGGCAGTAACACCAAATTCTTGTCCCTGAGTCATAAAATATGTGGCATAAGTAGAAAGCAAGGGTAAAAGTGGCTGCATTACTCCTTCCTTCCAGATTGCTATTTTTCAGCTTCTTCATCTCTCCACAAAGGTATTTTTCAACTACAGAAATTATTTACTTCAGTGCCCTGCATTTTTTTTTGTAAAACTGCTTCTGATTACTAGACCAGCCAGAGGCACTTGCTAAGTATGCAGCAGTGGCTGACCTGGCTTTTGTATCTAAGTAATGTTCTGAAAAGCAATCAGCAATACCTCAAGTACAGGAAAAAAAAAAAAAGAAAAGAAAAGAAAAAAAACAATTAAAAAAAGGAAAATGCATTGGGTTCTATATCTAAGGAAGTGTTGCCTTGGAAAAGATGGAGAATGTGAAAGCAAATACTTCCCCAAACCACCTGCTACTGTTTGTTAGTACTTGCACACTGCTTCTGTTGTTCTGGGCTGTAAAATAGTACAGCAAATAGTTACAGATGCCAATCATCACTTTCTTACTGTTTCCAGCCAGGACACATACACATATCAATGTCCTCCATACTCTTCACAATGTATCTGGCAACCTCAGCTGGTTTTCGCTTCTTGTCTCGGATCCACCTTTGCTGCCTGAGCTTACGCTCCCTCACACGGGCATAAATAGGCTTCTGCTGCTGCCAGAACTCAGTGCGTGTGTCCAGGTAGGCAATGCCACTCAACACCATGTCTGCTACTTTGATCCCCTTCTTTGTGCAGCTCTTCATCAGATCTGAAAATAAGATGGTAGAACGGGGGAAAACATTAATGTATGTGAGGGACGAAGCTGCAGTTCACTGGGGGACTGCTTGTGAACATTCTTTTGCTCTGACAGAGACAGTCCTGAGAATTAAAGTCTTTAATTCTCCTCAGAACTGATGTGATTAGGAGAGAAGTTACAGAAAATTCTCCTGGTGAGCTAAAGCTGTTGTTCCCAGCTCCTGTAAGCTGCTGCCTTCTTTAATGAAGAGCCAAAGAAGACGCCCAATTAATGGGGGCCAGCGGTGGTGCATGAGCATTTGTCCTCTTGGACAGGACAGCTATATGGGACACTTGTACTCAAATGGCACTTTAGAAAGTAGTGGATTAAATTGTGAGGTGGAAGTTGAGAGGACTTTAACATGGCTGGAAACCAGATGGCCCATATATATTATTAATGCCAGTAATACCATAAAACCGGTGAGTAGACTAAATTCTGAATTATTCCTCTGTTACTGGGTAAACAGTTTCTTAGATGAATGACTACATGGGAACGACCTTTCTGCCTAGTTCTGAAATAAGATACTTCTCTGATTCCTGCATCTTGATCTTAACAGCATTTACAAGAAAGCCATGATTGAGGCACGGTCTCATTAGCAGTGCTTTGCACTTAATGCAAGTGTTAGTAGAATTTAACGTCATGCCAGAAATTAAGTAAGTTGTAATGCTCTTGTTTCTGCTTTTTATTTCATCAGCACAGATTGCTTTGAATTGATTTATTGTTTGTTTTAAAAGCCTATCATTTAATAAGGAAGGAAACATGTTCAGACACGGTTATGAATATTGGATCTGGCTCCAAAAATGCCTGAACTCTCCAGATATCTGCCTCTCTCAAGACCACTGCAAACACTCTGTGCTATCTGAGCTCTGATACAAGTAAGAACTGTAGTAATAAGGATATAAAAGAAGGAAAGAAGACCCTGCCTAGAAGGAGCACTTAGTTAAATACAATGGAGAAAGACCTTCATCCTTGAGCAACTTTTCTAGGTAGGCCTTGTCAGCATAAAGCTCTCCAAGAAGCTGTCGCTCTACTTTTGGGTTCCTCTGGGGCTCCTGTTTCTTTGTCCACTGTTGATCCTTGGTCAGTTTTATTTGGAGTTTCTGATTTGCTTTTTTGCTCTACAGCAAGAAAAAATAAATTAAGTTGGGTGAGATTAGTGGGATACACTAGCGTTATCAGGAAGGTCTGGCTTTCAGAGTTGTTTGCCATCAATGTAGGCCCAGTTACATTTTAAGTCAAAGCAAGAAGTCAGTATGTCACCAAGAGATTTGGTCAGCAGCAAATTTTGTGCCCAAGTGTGCTCCCTCACTTCCAAGAGAAGGAGGAGGCATTGTAATAAGACCAAGAGTTAGTTCTGCTCCTCAGTCTTATTCTGTTCTGGAGGGAGTCCAGGTCAGTGCTGTGCCAGGACATTAAGGCTGTGGCAAAGGCAGGTCTAGTTCTCCAGAGTCAAAGACAAAGACAGTTCTACCACGGCTTCTGAAACATCAGGACAGTATTTCTGAAGTCTCACATTCAAAATCCCAATGATTACAGCATCAATATTTAGCCCCCTTTGTGCAAATTATTTTTACCACAGAGTACCCATAATTGCAGCTGAACGAAGCAATGAGCATTCACGGCACTGACTTCACAGGGAAATATGGCTTGGCATCGCAGAGGAATGAGGCATTACTTCAGTGGACCACCCCAAAATTAAGCAATTGAGAAAGTGTCCATTATCAAAAATGTGAACCTTAAACATCAGGTAAGACTAAAGTAAATATTCTAGATAAATGTACCCTAGCTCTGACCTCAGTGCTGTTACTTATTAGCCTTTGATGGGCGGTCAGCAACGAGCAGTCAGGCTGGTGGAGGATTCTCAGTTTGGGCTTCGTTTCTCCTTGGTTGTTCTTCCCTATCCCTCTGTCTTCTCCTTTCTATTTCGTGTAGCTTCAGCCACAACTATGTTAAAAGTAGGTACATAAAAACTCTCATAATGGATCAGCTGGCTTTGTCCGCTCAGAATGTGCTTCACTAGACCAGCTGTATCCCCATCCACGTTGCTGCAGGAACTACTAATCCTCTAGAGCCTATTTCAGATCACATTAGCATTATAATAACTAGTTAGCTTCTAAAGCAGGAGCTCTTCACACTGTACCTCTGCCTGCCTGCTTATAAAGCACAGATCCTCTTTGTTCTCCAGTTTAACTGAGGATGGACCTGCAAATACAGAGAAAATACTTCTTAGTGTACAAGAATAGCAGCACTGAAGCTTTAGAAACTAAAATGACCGTAAATGTGCCAAGCCTATAATGTCCTGTTTCAAACAAAGCTTCTTAATTATTTCACAAGAAATATGTGCATGTTGGTATGGTCTTTAAGTACGAATTACAGCTCATAGATGCAGCTCTTCTCTGGATTTTAATTATTATTTTCTTATGGCACCAGGGGAATCCCATCTTGGTGCAGTTTTCCTACAGAGACATCCTACATCTACATGGAGACAGAGGAAGAAAAAGGGTGGCAGGTTCTTCTGAGGAATCAAAGCTGAAGCTTAAAATGGAAGGAAAGCTCATAAGCATGGGGATATCCAGCAGTACAGAGAACTACTTTAAAGTTTTTGTGCACTGACAATTAGGGCAAAACTCCCATTTCATTTTCACTTCTGCTATTCAGATTGCACCCTGGCAGTGGAGGAAAGGGTGAAAAACAACTCTTTGTTTTGGTCTGGTCAGAAGAAAGGAAGGAGATTCGGCTGCTGTTGTTGAAGGATTTCCTCCAGCAAGGCAGCTCAGCCAAGCTCAGTGATGTGAGTATCCACATATCCCAGAAGGCAGGCGTTTCTGAACCTGCCGAGCAAAGCAGATTCAGCAAAGCAATTTGGAGGATATGCCCTGCTAATGTATGTGCATTTCACAACTATTTCAACATATGGATCAAATACTAATATGTTTCCTTGCTTCTTTTCCCTTGCATCTAACAGTTGCCACTTGATTGGAAAATGTTTTGGGTTTTATTCTGTTCATTTGCATACAGTCCAGATGCTTGAACACATTTAAAGCATTTAGCTCAGTATATCAAGCATGACAAGAATTTTGACTGAGAGCTGTGAAGACATTGAGGCATTTGTGTTAGTCTAAGAGAGCAGTGGTGATGGAGGAAAGCAAGCCAGATCTGAAAACTTTCACTTTTTTGTTGTTGTTGTTTTATTTGTTTGTTTGTTTGTTTGTTTTTAAAATAATATCATGTATAGAAGAGTTTCAGGCTTTTACACAGCTGGAACAAGAAGCTAATCTGCAGCACTGGAGGTGGATTGAAATTTTGAAACTGATTTCAGGGAGAGCGAGGTGCCCAAGTATCTGGAGGATCGAGGCCTCTGTATGGGTGTGCAGGCAGGGTGTGTCCTGGCTCCGTGACGGGACAGGCTCTTGGAGGATCCACCTGGGCAGTTCCTAACTAGCTCGGCGGGTTTTACAGCACCCTTGGGAGCTGTGCACCTGATAAGCCACTTGTCAAAGGTGGCAGCCCCAGCTGAGAGGTGTCTGTGTGCTCAAGAGTGGGTGCACATCTTGTCCACGCTTGTCTGCACATGACAGCATTGCTAAGAGAAAAACTAAGGGGAAAATTTTCCGTTTACTTTCTAACATCACTAGGTCCTTGGCCTTTTCTGTCTCCTGCAGGACGCAGCTCTACGATCTACGCCAGAAATTATGAAAGCAGTGCTCCATTGCAATAGTCAACAGTTTCACTGCTCTTATGCAATGGAAATTGGAGGAAAATCAGGATCTCAGGAAGGCCAGTCCCAGGTAGCAAGGCAAATTTCATTACAAACTTTTAATACTGGGATAAAGATTTCAAAATGGATTCTGTAATCAGTAGGGCCATAGGCAGACGAGCTGCTTTGTTCTGTATGATTTAGAACAAATTCACTTCCGTAACTGAAGTTATTGGACTCTGTATATGAATAGGCATTCTGCCAAAAAAAAAAAAAAAAAAAGCAGAAGAAAAAGAAAAGAACGGGGCTGTGCTTTTTTTGGTACTATCTGGTTTCATCTAACAATGGCCACTGAGCACGTGAATCTAGAAGCAAAGAGACTGCTGTTATAGGGTCCTTAGGTTACCTGCAGAGCTAATATGCCATCAGCTGTCCAGTGAACAGCTTCCAGCTGTGCTCACAGGCACCATAAAATCAAGCTGCTTACTTCCAATGCAGTTGACAATTGCCTCCTGGGATTTCTGGATACCCAGCCTGAACTTCTGTAGTTCTGGGCGTAGTCTGTAGCCTCGATGATAAAACACTAGCGCAAACTCAAAGTCACCCATGGTATATAATGTCTCAGCTTTTTGGTAAAGGCCCTGAAAAGGAAAAAAATAAAAACACTTCAGAGATCTCAACTAATTCCCCATTAGGCAGAAGGGAAAGCTGTGTGCTATCAGGTTTTCATACAATAAAGCATAATCCTGTAACTCTTCCTCAGCTGACAAAGCACCTCCCCTTCTCTGGAAGCACTAAAAGGGGCCAGAGTGCAGAGCGAGGCTGATTTTGCTTTTAGAGTTATCTATTTTTACACAACGCTGCCTCCCAGATCCTTCAGATAAAAGACCTGTCCTCGGCCACCCCAGTCTCTTCCTGCTTCGTGCCGTTTACCTTGGGGAACGTTTTGTCATTTTGGAGTGAAGCTTCAGCATCTTTCAGGGAATTTTCCATGTCTCCAAGTCTCAGGTAACATTTTGAGCGGGCAACTAGGCAGTGCTTGTCTTCTGCTCTCAGCTTCAGTGCCTGGAATGCAGTAGACGTCCATGTGCCATCAGTGCTGGGAATTCATCCCAGAAGCCCAGGATGGCTGAGGTTGGAAGGGACCCCAGGAGACCACCCGGTCCCACCCCCCCTGCCAAGCAGGGTCACCTAGAGCACCTCGTGCAGGATGGCACCCAGGTGGGTTTGGGATATCTGTGGACAAGGAGACTCCACAGCCTCTCTGGGCAGCCTGTCCCCGTGCTCTGTCACCCTCCCAGTAATGAAATGCCCCCACACATCGAGCCGGAGCCTCCTGGGCTTCAGTTTGTGCCCGTCACCTCTCGTCCTGTTGTTGGGCACAACTGAAAGGAGGCCGGCTGCTTCACACACACATACGGGACACAACCTGCTCCGTCTCTACACGGATCTGTCTGATGGACGAGGACAAAAAACTCCGACTTTTTCGGCACAAATTATTCTCTGCGTACTCACGCACCCCCTGTGCAACCACCCCCTCCTCCCGTGCTGCCCCCCCTGTCTGTGGGGCACCCCCTGCCACAAGGGCAGGCCCTGCACCTCCTCATAGTGTCACCTCTGCGTGTCACCCCCCCTCGTGTCGGTGTCACCCCCCCTCGTGTCGGTGTCACCCCCTTCGTGCTGGTGCCACCCCCCCTGGTGCCACCACCTCGGAGCCACCCCCCCCAGTGCCACCACCTCAGGGCCACCCCCTCCGGTGCCACCCCCCCCGGTGCTGCCTCCTCAGCCCCCTCCCTCCTCGCTGCCACCCCTGCGAGCCGCGGCCCTCCCCGGCGACCCCCTCAGGTGCCCCCTCAGGTGCCCCCGCCGCCCTCCCGTGCCCTCGGGGCTCTCCCCCCCGGGCCTCCCCGGTTCCCTCACGTTGTCGAAGCAGGCCAGGGCCTTGCCGTACTCTCCCCGCCGGTACAGCAGCGTCCCCTCGGTCATGAAGCCGGGGAAGGTGCCGACCGGCACCGCCGCCATACCCAGGCCCGGCCTAGGCCCCGGCCAGGCCCCGGTCGCCACCGCCGCCGCCGTCGCCTGGCAACCGTTGCCAGGCAACCGCCCCGCTTCCGGCTCGGCGCGAAGCCCCGCCCACGCGGTGACGTCTCGGCGCGCCACGGCGCGAGGCCGTTTCCCGCGCCCGCGCTTTGGCCACGTGCGGCTGCTGCGGTTCGCGCCGCGCCGCTGCCGGCACCGAGCGTGGGGGGGGGACCCGGTGGGGAGCGCTCGGTCCCGGGGGTGGCGTGGGCAGAGAGCCTCGAAATGCTGCCGTGCCGTGCCCAGCGCCTTCCCACGAGCCAGGGCAGCGTGGGGTGGGCTGGTCAGAGGCACGGTGTAAGTAGGGCACGGGTGGGCGGCGGATAGGAGAGGTGCACGAGGCCGGGAAGGAAACGCCCGTTTCGCTGCAAAATGCGTGCCGGGTGATTCCAGGCAGCTGGAGCTGTGGTGTGTTTGGCGCTGTGTTTCCTCACCCGGCTTGTCCGGCCTGCGGTGCTCCGGCGCTCGTTCGGGTTTTGTTCTAAAGGCTGCGTTTCCAAACAGCAGCGCTGGAGGCACAGCTGTAAAGAAAGGGAGTGTGGGAGTGCAGGCGCTTCATAAAACCGCTGTGCAAGAGCAGTCGTGTGAATGCCTCAGCTCCTGCCAGCATCAGGCTGAGCAGGTTCTTCTGCTCAGCCGGGTCAGGAGCTGGTGCCTCCTGCAGGGGCTTCGCACAGCAGCCCACTGCCTTCCCCCCTCTTTGTGTAATATTCAGTTCTTTTTGGTGTTTGCTGGTAGGTCACACTACTGGTTTCATCACTGCGGCATCCAATCCTCCTGGACAAACAGAAATGATGAACGAGAGAATGTTCTGGTTCTCTCCTGTCAGCATCCAAAGTCTCGATATTGTTTTGGGCTTGTACAAGACCCTGCCAGGATTAATTTTTGGAGCAATTTGTTCTAGCAAAGTGACTCAGAGAGGGTGTGGCCTGTCTGGCCTGCTCAAAAAAATCCTCCTGCTCAGAGCAGTCTGTAAGATTTAACATCACCGTGGGGAATGGCAGAGCTGCTGCTGGATTCTGGAAGCAGCCCAGGAGTGACAGGGTCAGTCCTCACTTCCATGGCGTGGCGGATGGGGCTGTGCAGAGGGCAGGCAGGGAGTCTCATGCGTGGGTGGTGACACAAACACCCGTCAGACCCTGCAGTGGGAGGCCAGCGTGACAAACCCTCTGCCGACAGGGAGAGAAGTTGAGATGATTTAAAGTAAACTTCTGGTAACTGTTTTCCATGGGGCCTTTTGCCAATGCGGGTCATGATGTGTTCTCCCTAAGGAGACGGGAGCATCGCGTCTGTGTCCTCCGGTCACCCGCTGGTGGCTGTTACAAGTCCGTGCTCCAGCCCCGTGATAATGTCATGGGCTGCTCGCCTCTGGACCGAAGCCATCCTCTCTCATCGGAGGGACTGCCCCAGGGCGCTTCTCTTCGGTGTGGCTGATTTGTACTTTAGTCACAGGTTGGAAATACCAGGGGAAAAAAAAAAAATGAATGTGCTCTGAGTGTTGCTGGCAAGCAGAAGAGACCGTGCTGAGTGCCGTTAGAGGCTTGTTACCAAACAAACGGGGCTGTTGTGAACAGGGATGGGGGATGGCTGCATCCTGCACTTCCACAAGTGTCCCTTTCTCCTGTCATTGTGTGTGGGAGATGTTTTCCTGCCCTGCTCATGTAAAGACCACCTGCCAGCCCTATCCTTCAGGACCATGCACCATAATGGTGATGTACGCCAGTGATGCTCGGTTCCCGAGCAGGGCTGCTGCCTGGCCATGCACCGCGGAGCTCCGCACCCCACCGCCGGTACCGGCAGCCACCTCCTGCCTTACACCACCCCCGGGGGAGGCTGCTCAGCTCCGGGGAACGCCTGGATCCGGCTTGGTGCAGGCACGCCGGGCCGGGCCGTGGGAGGGGAAGGGTGGGCGGCTTGGCCTGGGGGCTGAGAGGCTGCAGCAGGAAAAGGATGAGGATGAGGATGGGGAGGAAGCAGCAGAAGCAGCGGGCACGGGGCTGCTGCAGCGCTGGGAGCTCGGCGGGGGCTGCCAGCGGGGGCAGGCTGCCCGTGGCTGGCGGGCGGCGCTCGGCGTGACGGTGGCGTGGCCGCGGCCCTTTGCTCCGAGCTGGCACCGCCGCTGTTTGCCCGCAGCCCCGGCCCAGGATGGGGGGGGGGGGGGCTCGGTTCACGGCCGGAGACGGAGGGGAGGGAGGGGAGGGGGGGGGGAGGCGCGGCACCGAGGGGGCGGAACTACGACTCCCACAAGGCCGCGCGGCCGCGCCCCACCGCTCTCGGCCAATGGGAGGGCGGGGAGCGCTCAGGCAAGGCACACGTGATGGAGGCGGCGGCCAATGGGAGGCGGCGGCGCCCGTAGGCCGATGGGCCGGGGAGGCAGCGCCGAGCCGCAGCGAACAAAAGGCGGCGGCGGCGGCGGCGGCGGCGGGGCCGGGGCAGGGCCGGGAGCAGCGCAGCGGGGGCCGAGCGGGGCCGCGGTGAGTGGCAGGGCCCGGGGAGGACCCCGGGGCTGGGCCCAGAGCGAGGAGCCCCCGGGGGGAGACTCAGGAGGGCGCCGGGAACCGGGAGTGGGGAGCGGGGGGAACCGGGGAGGGTCCCGGGGGGGTCCCCGGAGGGTCCCCGGAGGGTCCCTGGGGGGTTTCGGGGGGTTTCGGGGGTTCCTGGGGGGGTCTCGGGGCAGGGTGAGGCCGGTTCGCGGCTCCGCCGCCGTGGGGGGAGGATGCTCGTGGCCGTGAGCCCGGGGTGGAGCTGGGGGAGCGCAGCCAGCGCCCCCCGGCCCGGCTCCGGGGGCAGCCCCCGCCCCGCTGCCCCTCCTCGACCCCAAACCCGCCCGAGGCAAGGGGAAGGAGGCACCGGGTTTGGGTTTTTTTTTTTTCCGCTCGGTTCTGTTCCCGCCTGCCTGTCCCTGTCACCCTCCGTGCCCGCAGCTGACAGCTCCGGGGCCGTGAGATGGCCGCCCTCCACATCTTTTATTTTGAATTATTTTTATTTTGAATTATTGGCTGCTTGGGGAATTCTCCCCATTTTGCACTGGCTTCAGGATTCCCTCTTAAGCAGCGTTTGCTGCCTGGCAGAGCAGTGGAAGCTGTGCTCTGAGCGCGGTGCCTGTCCCTGCAGCTGATTTATTCCCTCAGCTGGGATCGGTCTCAGCTCTCCTATCTCACGCTCTGCCTCGCACCCCCTCGAGTTTTCCGCACGAGGCTTCTGCGTGGCCGTGCAGGAGGTTTTCCAGCTGTCCTCCTCCTCCTGGCACGTCCCTGGAAGCGGGACCCGCTGTGAAGGCAGCCACGGTGGGGAATCCTGCCCGGCCACACAGCCCAGAAGCCTGCTGCTGCCCGTTCCCCAAGGGATACGGGGAAGAGCGAAGGAACGAAACTGCTGGGAACTCTGCACAGAGCTGCAGGATAATTTGATTGTTAGACACAAAGTTCCAGATATCCCGCTTCTGGCACCAGGCACGCACCGGGGTGTTTGGAGGCTGTTTCCTGCTCTCCGCTAATCTTAGATGGGTTCATTGCCCTTCTCCCTGGCTGCACTTCCTTTTTCTGAGGTTCCCCATCTGCAGGGAACCTGCTCCAGAGCTGGACATTCGCCACGCTCACCACCCCGGCGAGTGATACCTGCTTGCATCACACCAGGACGGTGCCAGGCGTTTCATAACGCGCGGCGCCGCGATTGCTTGAGCTGTGAAGTTGGCTGGCTGCTGTGGGGCCTCTTCCCTGGAGCCCCCTCCACGTCCTCTGATGAAAGCAGGCACGCTTGCCAGGTGGAAGCTGACGTAACTTTTCACGCTGCTATGGGCAGAAAATACTGGCCGGTCTTGAACCGTGTTAATAAATGACCTGGGATGAAGGGGGAAGGTTGCTTTACAGTGCAGCTTAAAATTTCTCAGGAAGAGAGGGCATGGGATCTTTACTGGAAGCAGTAAAGGCGCTTTTCTTCCTGTAAAAGCGTTGCTTGGGTATGATAGGATCTGGATCCAAGTAAATCCGTGCATGTGAGCCCCGTTCTGCATGGATGTGAACTGGTGAAGCTCGCTGAGTTACACCTCCAGCACCACAAAGGGTTTAAAGAAAAAAAACTTTATCCCTTTTTTTTTTTTTCTCCCTTTTCCAGAGGTGACTGCACATCATCCAGTCTCTTTGGGATTCAAGGAGTTCTTACCCTGATTCTGTTGTCATGAATTTCTCGTTTTCTTTTTTTCTCTGGTTTCTCCTGTGTTTTGCCTTCGGTTAGCCCCTGGTATATCGGGGCGTTAGGTACCAGTTGTCACGGCAAACACAACATCCTCTAGCTTTTTGGTCCATACCATTATCACACAGTAGCTCTTCTCTCATCAAGACACTTGAGAAATTTTGCTGAGGGATAAACTTGCTTTGCATATTTGACAAGTGATGTTTTAGGGGAGTACGTGCTCCTGAGGCCCCAAACACGATCTAATCCATTTGTCTTGTTTGCTAGTGAAGGCTGAACACCAGCTTTTTTTTTTTTTATTCTTACGTCATTGGCCGTGGATGATTTTGTAAAGGTCCCTGTTGCAGAGAAGCTGTTTGTTTTAGAGCCTCAGCAAACGAACAGAAATCATTCGTGGAAACCACTGACGCTTCCCACCAACGCCTTATTCTTACACCAGTGATCTGCTTGTCAAACCAAGACTAGGTACGTGGCATCTGTGCAGCAGAGCTCTTGTCCTCTGCTTCAGGGCAGCGTCCTTCAAACGCAGGAATGGTTTTGGTGGCTCGGGCTGTAGAACTGATCCTGCCAGCCCTACAGAACCTGTAAAAAGAGCAGCAAATCATCACAGTGAGCCCAGAGAGGCGTTATCAGGTAGAAATCATTCGCTTTATCTGCCTCTGAAATCCCGTGCAGCAGAAGATAAGTGCTAAAAGCAGACTGCGAGTGGCATTTTGTGCTACCAGCACAAATCTACTATTCCATCTGTGGCATTTGCAAGATTTGAGGCCTGAAGTCATCAGAAAATTGCAATTCAGCCTTAATGAATGAATCGTGAACAGAGCAACGTCTTGGGAGTGGATCAGTGGAGGA